TGTTCCAGTTGGGGTATGTCACAAGTGTATAACATATACAAACTGGATCCCAGGACGCTTCCCTGTGGTACTCCTGCTTTGATTTCATTCAATTCAGAGTATGCTTCATCTTGTTTTACTCTAAAGAATCTATCTGAAATGTATGAATCCAATAGCTCTGAGTATGGCTGTGGAAGTAGCACATTCAGTTTATGTTTTAAGCCATCATGCAATACTTTATCAAAAAACTGCGCAACATCGATGAAGATGGCTGAACAGATTTCCTTATTTTCTAATGCTTTTTCAATCGCATTTGAGATTCTATGAACCTGATCTATAGTTGAATGGTTTTCTGTAAAGCCGAACTGGTAATCTGGAATAAGTTTCTTTTCTTCAATGATGGGTTTCAGTCTTTTTATTAGTATTTTTTCAAATAGTTTCGATACTATAGGCAATAGAGATATTGGCCTATATGACGAAACTTCGTTCGGAGGTTTTCTTGGTTAGGGGATCATAATAACTTCAGCTACCTTCCACAATCTAGGGATATACCTTGATTTCAATGAGGCATTAAACAGGTGTGTAAGTTTAATTATGGCTTTCTTCGGAAGTTGTATTAAGGTTTCTCCTGTAATTAAATCATAGCAAGAAGCTTTTTAGGATTAATATTTGTTTTTATATCTTCTGCAATTTCCTTTGGAGAGGTTGGTCTTATAATTATTGAGTTATCTCCCTCTAGAGGAGCCCAGTTCGGTAATTCTTCTCCGTCATTTGGTTTGAAGGTGTTTTCTAAGTGTTCTGCGAATCTACTAACTTTTTGTATAATATTTCTAGCCCAGCTACCATCTGTATTCCTAATTGGAGCATTCTGCACAGTGGGCCTTTTTAATCGTTTTGTGGCTTTCCATAGAGAATAATCAGTGGATTTATCGTTTGTCAACTCACTAAGGTATTCACAAATAGTTTTATTTTTGATTCGTTTTATCTCTCTTTTTAACTGCTGGCCGACGCTGCCCTTAATTGAATGGCGTCTCACAGACACCGCGCGGGTACTCTTGTTTCGAAATTAAAAGCGGGTGGCCGAGGGTTAAAAAGAAGGAAGTTTGAAATTGGACCATTTTTCTAGACGACTCTTAATACCTGTTACACAAGTTTAAATTCATTATTTGCATGGTGTTTGTATAGTTTTTACAAAAAGAGGTTTCCCTGGAAACTTCAAATTTAATATATAGTATATATGTCGCAGGCTTATGGTAAAATCAGTCTTATTATAATACGCCTAGGCTTTTTCAATTCGACTAGGCATATTATAATACTGCCCAAATAATTAAATAATTAAATTTGACTGATTATTTCAGGCGTATTATAACAAGCCGGTCGCTTGTTATTCTTATTGTTAAATTGAACAGATACGCAGGTGTTTTAGAATCCGACTAGATGAAATATGTCATATTATAATACGACTGACGATGTGCCAGGCAAATCGTGTTTATAATACGACTGACGCATGACGGTGGGCCATGCGAACTATACTCAATCATTGATTTTAAACACTGTAATCTATTTAAAATAAAAATACAAATAATAGATTAGAATTATTTATTACAGCATGGTCCGCTTTTATGACATTGGCTAGTGCATTTCATACGAGCTTTGAAACAAACATTTATTGCTATGACACCGTGTCTTGCTTGGCTTGCAAGAACATTTTTTAAATCCCTGTCCATCGAATTTTGAAAATAACCTTAGAGCTTCTCTTAAAGTAATTGCTTTTCCTTGTGGAATGTTAATTATTTCATTAGTTTGACAGCCAGTAATTTCATCCCTCGAAAACCATCGACTTAACAAGCCGTTAATATTTTGCACAAATATTAGGTAGGTACAAAAAAATTCAAACATCCAAAATCAACTCAACAACAACGATAATTGCAATTCGCCTGGCACATCGTCAGTCGTATTATAATACGACGGATTAAATCTAGTCGGATTCTAAAACACATGCGCGTCGGTTCAATTTAACAATAAGACTAACAAGCGGCAGGTTTATTATAATACGCCTGAAATTATCAGTCAAATTGTGAGATTCTTAATTATTTGAGTAGTATTATGTCTAGTCGTATTGTAAAAGCCTAGACGTATTATAATAAGACTGATTTTATAATAAGTCTGTGACATATACACTGTTTGTTTTTTTGTCGATAATTTTAAATAAAATAAAAAAATCATGTAACATAGAAAACATTTTATTGATTATATGTATAACTGAAAAGAAAAACCATTTAATTGAAAATTACAGGAAAATTAAAAAAAATTTGAAAAAGTAACAGCAAAAAATTCTTGCATTGCGCACTTTATAAAATCCCTATAAATAAATTAATATCTTGTTGGGCCTCCCCTGGCTCGTCTTAGTGCTGTCACTCTATTTAGTATGCTCTCTATTAAATTATTGATAAATTGCTGAGGTATGGTTTCCCAAATTGCCTTCAACTCATTATCCAACTGTTCTAAGGTTTGGGGAGGCTATTGACTTCGATTTAATCGCCTAGACATTTCAGCCCAATTTATATCTGATGAACAGGGTGGCCAATCCATTCTTGTAATTCCATGATGTTCTATGCGATCGTTTACAATTCTCGCACGATGAGGACGAGCATTTTCGTCAATAAAAACAAATCGTTCACCTATTGCACCAAAAAATGATACAATTATCGGCTCTATAACCCTGTCACGATATCGTATGGCACACATTAGTTAAGACCACTAAATCAGTGCGACCATTATAACATTATATTATATTATAACACCACCAAAAAGAGTTGTTGGGGCCATTAAATTTTCATTGTATCGCTGTCTTTTTCTCGCCATATCAATATTCGGCTATCACACGTATACAAACGAAATTTGGACTCGTCGGTAAAGAGGCAGTGCCTCTAATTTTGAAAAGTCCAAAAACTGTGTTCTTCCGCCCACCGACATCGGTATGCACGCTGCTTCATCGTCAGTCTTGGGTGTGTTGCGCGACGTCTAGCTCTTGAGTTACATGCATGCAACCCTCTTCTGATAGTTTGTCCAGAAGAAGGTGTTAATTCTTTAAGCTGTAAATGTTCGGTTTCTTCTCGCTATAAAGCGGTCTTGAGCACGAGTTGTAGCTCGTTCTCGTCATCCTCCATGTGTGTACGCTGCAGACCCACTTGCTTGATACCGATTCTATGCACGACTTACGACACTCTAAGACACATTCAGCCACGTGGCAACTTCTTCTTGGAACAAACCTACCTCTTTTCAATGCACTAATTGCTGCAGTTGCACTGCCTCTAATCATCGTACCGGCATATTCTTTACTCGAATACATAAAATTATTAATAAAAGTAACAGAACAAAGTAAGAACAAGCTCTTCTGCACAATTGATACTTTACGATTTTTAAACAACCTTCCTACAATTTTCGTGGAAGAGATAAGAGCATTGACAACGAACAATAAACATGCAAAAAATAATCGCTGTGAATACGGTTTATTGATAATACAAAAAAAAATTTAAATATATTTACACATAAATTTTAGGATTTTTGCAATTATCCAGTTCAATTGTTGAGCAGTGTATTATATATACTATAAATAATTACAGTTCATCAAATTTCTAGAGGCTTTCGACGGCTAGACAGAGAAAGCACTACTGACAAGCATCCCGACGGATTTACGCAATGAAAGTACACTCTGCACATCAAGTATTTCACTATTTCATTCAGACGTAAATGTCAGATGTAAATTTCGCTAAAACATTTCTTTTATTTTCGTTTGTGTTTTTTGCTCATTACAGTTTAATAGAACCTAAGTATGGAGTTTAATAGCAAATTAAGAGACCGCGTGATTAACAGTCAATCTCGCGAAATAATAGCCAATGTTATAGAGTTTATGAGAAGAGAAGGAAACTTTATTTCACCTTCAATACCATTTAAAAATGTAAATGATCGTGTTGCTGCAGCCACAGGAGTATCTAAAAACACTGTCGTCCGCATTTCTGGAGAGAAAAAAAGAATCGATAACCGTGAGATATCGGAATTTTCATCACCAAGAAAAACCATTAAAAAACCAAAAACAGTTAATGATATAGATGAAGCTGCACAAGAATCAAATTTTATTTTTTTATTATTAGATAGCTATTTTTGTTTCTGAGTTGTGTTCATTTACAGGCTCAATTTTTTTCCGTTTCTCCTCTTTGATTTTATATGGGGTTTCAAGTTGTTTTTGACTTATTTCGACGTAAATCACAACAACACACTTTTTTAATAAAGCAAACAAGTGTTAAGAGGTATATGTACGTGTAAACTACAATTACAAAAAATTGATATGAAACCCATGAAACCACCAACAAAAATGTAAAGCTAGCTTCCGTACTAGAACATGGTGTCATTCGTCGAGATAATTTATCGTTTTGTTTAATAGATCAAGAAATGTAAATATTCCCCTGTTATTTTTTATAAAATTATAAGAGAAATAAATTTTTTTCTAAATAGTATAGTTTATTATTTTGTAGAAATCAAAATTTCGATAATTTTAGTAATGTTTCAGAAACAACCGTTATTAATAATAGGTACCATTTTCCTTAATAAGGTAGAAATAAAATATAAACTATTTCCACGATTTACAAAGGCCTACAAAAAAATTATAGGTATTTTCCGCTATCCTATAAAATTTATATTTTCTGACTCAATTTCAAAAGGTTGAAGGAATTCCAAAACACCTTTTATGGCATAATAATTATTTTCAATTCTACATACTATCTTTAGCTGCTTTTAAAAACGTTCTAAGAAAGTCCAATCAGACCAATTTAATCCCTAAACTATTCCACACTTTTAAAATTTAATTACCTAAAAATATTAAAAACTATTTAAAATAACTTGTTTAGCAGACTGTACAATAGCTATCTTAGTCACACGTAGCGCTTTCTCTGTCTGGGCGTCGAACACCTCTAGAAATTTGATGAACTGTACTAAATTAACACCTAATAAATAATTTATAGTTTTTAGATGACACAAATGACGTTAATACATTCTCAGATATTCTGACGAGAAGTGTCAGGACAGCAATTAAACTTAAACAAGATGGAATTAGTCGAGGTGATATTGTTTCCAGCTGTACCCACAATCACAAAAACTCTATCATTCCATTCATTGCTACACAGTTTTTAGGTGCAATTTCAGCAACTTTTGATGAAAATATACCTCAATTAGATACTGTACACTTATTAAAACTAGTTCAACCCAAGATCCTATTTGTTTCCGAAAATAGCCTAGAATTTATGGAAAAGTGTTTACATAAAGCAAATATTAATACAAAGTTAGTAGTATTTGGAAATAGTAAAGAATATACTGAATTTTCGAAATACGTGGAACCGTGCCATGAAGAAGAACAATTTTATCCAGTTCAAATTGAAAACCAAAAAGATGTAGCTGCGATTGTTTTTAGTAGTGGCACAACTGGTTTACCTAAAGGAATTTGTTTCCATCACACATCTTTAAAAAATATAACTAATCTAATTACTACTTTGAATGAAGATCATGTGATATTATTTTATGCCTCGCTTTATTGGATTGGTGGTATAATTGTTTTAATCAAAGGTATAACTAGTGGATGCTCTTTAGTCACTTGCAAACGATATGATCCAGCTTATTCGTGGAATCTTATTGAAAAATATAAGGTAAAAACTAAAAATAGCTTATAAATGACCTACTGGAATTTTGATACTTCTATATAAACAACTCGTAGCAGGGTCTGATTAAGAAGGACGCTGGCTATATCTAAGGAACAGATTTTCGTATGGATGTGATTTTTTTTTCTAAATCGCTGGAAATTATTTTAAGTTCTTAACTTCGCCGTCATGCTCATGGTCAACGATAAAATAAGAAAAAATGACAAATTAAGTTATGGCAAAAAGGAAATTGTTAATCTGTGAGAAAATTTTATCAATTTTGATTACACTTTCGTTTATTTGTTTATCTACCTTGACCATTTATACGTTTAAATTTATTTTCTCAAATTTCTAAAACACATAATTTTACGGCCGATGTTCCTTCTTATTTGGACACGCGGTATATAGTAGGCGAACATAAGCTAACTATACATATATTATTTGTTACTATAAGTCAAGACTAGACTTACAAAAATCTCTTCACAAATCATTAATAATTATTTCTTAGTCTATAGCCAATAAATATAATATTTTTTAGCACGATTTTTTATATGACAAATATTGTGGTCTTTTTTGAAGATATCCGAAGAATATAGTAATGCATCTCATCACTGACAATCACTATATATAAATATCCATTTTTTATATATTTTGGTGTAAAACACAGACATAATATAGTGAATATTATCAAGTCACACAATAGTCCTTCTCATCTAAGAAATGCATATTTCCAATGGCTGAAACAAAAACACAATACTGGATTTATATTCACCTAATTTTTTTCACAAGATGTTATCTAATTTAATTCTCTAAACAATAAATGCATGCATCTTTTGTTCTATTGTAGATGTCAACCTGCTCTACTGAGTAAAAACGGTTTAAATTTAATTATACTTAGTTTGTTAAACTAAAGTACCGTAAACAAGAAAATGTGTAGATCGTAACTAATTAATAAGAAAAGCTAAATATAATTTTCCTGTAAACGTCCCAGTTTTCATTCTACATGGCGATAAAATGAATTTCGTATATATACAAATTTATAACTATCTAACTTTACGATAAAGAATTTAACTTAAAAATATGTATATGTTAGTTAATCGTCATTATTAGTTAACACACTTTATTTCGATAAATTAAGAAAAACTATTGATGTAGAATCAAGTGTTATGAAAACAATTTTTATTCAAACTTTTTGAACTCCCTATATTTCATAAAAGTTAAGATTATTAATTATTGCTCACGTAGTTTGTCACAAAAAAGGACTCTTGTTTGATCTCTGTAGAACATTCCGTTTCCGAGATTTTTTAGTTTTATTTCTACTCAAACATGAAATCTATGTACAATAATTGTATCAAGGGCTCATTTCATAATGAATATTAAAATGTCCATTATCTAATGGGATCAGGAATTCATGGGCCTAATGGTCTCATCAGTTAATGGACCTTCTAATATTGAATATGAATTTGACCCTTAATAAGAATTGAAATTTTTTCATTGCTTGATGTAGGATGGGAGCACCATTTAGAGCCATCTTAAAGTATCCTCGGAATTGAAAAAGATCATAAAAAAAAATATTAAAATTACCATAGGAGTTTGAAAATTAACCACAACAAATAATATTGTTTTTCTACGTTTAATATCCAAAGTAGGCTTTTGCGCTTCGAAATTCAACCGCAAAGTTGTGGTTTTCAGCGAACTGGCATTAAGTGACAGCTTTGTCGTTCGCCGAGCGGAAAACTTGACGGCTCTGTCACTCGCCTAATTTAAATTACATATATTATAATAATATTTCTTTTTAATAAATGATTTTAAAGTTATTTGTACGTTATGTTACGTTATGTTTTTTTGGTAACACATTATACACTACTTATGACAAATTTTCAGTTTTTATATCTATTTCTTAAAATAATGTGATCCTAGAAAATTTTTTGTATGTATATTGAACGAAAAGTTCGTTGCTGCTTTCGACAAAATGCCGCGCTCTGCTACGCGTCACGCGGCAACTTTTTGTTTCAAGCGGCAAAGTATCACTTTTCGATCTTAATACACAAACAGCTATTTTTATTTATATGTCAGTGGTTTTAAATCTAAATAATAGAGTTTATTAGTTATCATCTTTTAAAACTTCGAATACATAAAATTGTTATTTTGTAATTTATGGCTAATCATTTTCTAATGTTAACTTTGTAAGTTCCATTTAGAGAAACTTCATTTCATCTAAAAGGCATCAAATATATCAAAATTTAAAATTTAAAGACAGTTTTTATTCGATAAATACTAAAAGAGAATAACATTTGTTTAAAAGTATGGTATTTTTTTATTTCTTCAATGAAGTAGTAGCCTATTGATTTTTTTTTTCAAACGTGTAGGTTGAATTTTTTCCAAACTATCAATTCAGTCATACCAGATCTCGTCCTTTTTTATAAACAATTCCAATACTTTATATAACTTTCCATTTCAATAACTAGTACTTGATTCTTCTTTTCATCTGTAATTATTTCTGGTTAAAAATATTTACCACATGCATACATATTTAGTACCATTGAACTTATGTGATCAATATTAAAGGAAGTTTGTAAGTTTCAGAAAATCTTTTTCAGGATCAATTTATTTATTGATTATTTTTTTTAATACTTCTATGTTTTCTTTTATCAAATTACTTTTCTTCAATCTTTGATTTTATTGTAAATAAAATTTTTACTTTTGCCTTAAGTATTTTGTCAATTTGTTATTCGACAATTATGTTTTCTATGTCGCAACTAGATAAAATATTACACTGGAGAAGGCCACTTTCAACCCTTTTGGACATTTGGCTTACTAGATTTCCCAAAAGAAAAATAAATACCTTCTCGGTATACTGGAAAACCCATTTTAGCTGTGAGTTTTATTTACCAACTGCTTCTAAAACGTTTCCTAAAACTGGACTTCTTCCAACTCTGTCTGATGTTTCTCAAAATATTTTACTCAATTTATGAAAATTGTTATTCTAGGAACCTCGTTAAATTTCCATACGGTACTTCACAGCACTTATGCGTCATAAGACCCAATGTTCATCCTGCAGGGACATATAGAATCTGCCTCCCAACTTGTCGAAACCTGCTGGTTGCCGCTGAGAGGTGTCTAAAGGTTTTCAACTCATCAAAGTCCTGTAAATTATCAACTCCTAAAAAACCTACTGGTTGACGCTGAGGGGTTTCTACAGACAGCCATCTTCTCAGTTCGTCAAAGTCTTACAGGTTATTAAACCATCAGTAACCTGATTGTTGTCGCTGGGTTGTGTCTAGGGATAGCCAGTCTCTCAGGTGAAAGACCTGCAGGTTATTAACGTCGTCGATAGGTGTCTAGATGCTTAATTTTTAAACAGTGGCCTACCACTACAGTGAGCTTTTACCACCCCGATGGTTAATTCCCGGGTGAAGTAATTTTTTCCGCCCGCTCCACAGGGCAAAAATGAATATGTTATCTCCATTAGTGGCCAGTCAATTTATCATGTATCCAAAATAGGATCATAAGTGTTCTATAGTGGACATCACTTAGCCACTGGCTGACCAAAAATGGATCATAGGTATTCTAAAAGTAGCTATCACATAATCACAGCAATATTTGCTGTTCCATTTCTGGCCACTCAATTAAACGTTAAAATCATAAGCGTATACCCTAAAAATTTGTTTATTTAAGTATTTCACTTAAATGGTAAATAAAGATACCCAGTTTCTTGTCAATATTGGTAAGAAAACACCTTAAATATGAACTTGTCAAATTTGGTTACTTTAAAATATTAACTGCTACATCAGACAACAATGCTATTCGTACCAAAGTAGTGTGAAGTCGTCGACGTTGTCAGTCTGTTATTCACTTAAATAAACGACAGACATAGGATTTGTTAGAATATAATAATTCCCTAGGTGGTCACCAACGGTGAAGTGACCACGAATGGTGCTCGTACCCAACATAGATTTCATGTTTGAGTAGGGCTCAACTATTATGAACTAAATTGTTCAAAAACTTTGGATTAAAATTATTTTCTTAGCCTTTGATACTACGCCAATGGCTTATCGTAATTTATCAAAATAGAGTGTATTAATAAGTTAAAGTCTTTATATTTATAAAATTATGTTATAATTAAATTCGCTATATCACCCTGTAGGATAAAAACTGGGAAGTTCATAGGAAAATTATATTTAGCTTCCCTTAATAATTAGTTAAGATCTACAAATCCCCCAAATAAGTATACAAAATTTATAGAACACATATATTCCAGGTTACGTTTAAGTTCCTACCATCTTATGACGCCAAAGATTTTTTAGGCCACAAACCAAAAAACGTTGATACAAGCAGTTTAAAAGTATTTGTAACTGGAGCCTGTGCTGTCTCAGAGAAATTAATGAAAGGTCTGATAGAAGCTTTACCCCAAACCAGAATTATTCAATTTTATGGTACCACTGAAATATTATTATTCACTTTGTTTAATTCAATGAGTGATGAAGAATATGAATTGCAACTTCTAAAACCAACGTCTTGTGGCAAAGTGGTTTCCAATTTTAAGTGGAAGGTTAGTCCAAATTAACAGTGACTTTTTTTAATCATTCATTTTTTAAAAAACTATATTAGATATTAAACATGACCTGAAGGAAGTTAACCCAATCAGCATTGAAATTCTTTAAAAAAATATGTTTTAGATTGTAGATATTAACACCGAAAAACTTCTTGGTCCAAACGAAAAAGGTGAAATCAGAGTTAAAAGTGAATATATGATGACAGGATACTACAAAATGGATTATTCGGCTGCCTTCGACATAGATGGATATTTTAAAACTGGAGATATAGCTTATTATGATAAAGATGAGTGTTTTTACATTGTTGGTAGAATAAAAGAAATATTTAAATACAGAGGATGGCACATTATTCCTGCGATAATCGAAGAAGTACTAACATCGCACCCTGCAGTAAGAGAAGCTGCAATAGTTGGAGTACCACATGAAATTGATGTAGCCCATCCAATGGGAATTGTAGTATTAAATAAGGGATATGATCATATAAAAACAGCTGCTATTGTTAATTTTGTTAATGAGAGGGTTTCTGAAAGCCAGAAGTTAAGAGCTGGTGTTATGATTGTGAACAATATTCCAAAAACTGCAACTGGAAAAATAAAAAGTAGATTTTTGGAAGAGATCGTTTCTAAAAACATTATCCAGTAATATTATTTAATAATAATCAAGGGTAATATGTCAATTTGATGAGAATAATTTTAGGAATTAATAATCTGATTAGAGCCCGAGAGCTTTAGCACGAGCAGTATATTAATCAAGGTCGTGTTATATTTGGGTCAGTAGACCAAATATTGACTATTTCTATAGAGCAGTGGTTCTCAAACTTTTTTAGCGACGGAACCTTTTTGAGAAGCGAAATATTTGATGGAGCCCCTAACACATTTCTAAAAAAAAGTCGGCATACTCAAAATACGGTCCCAAAAAACGCACGCTAATTAAGCTTTTATAATTATCCGCATGGGCACTGGTACTGCATACGGTGTTTAAAATACATGGCTTCTTATGGGAATTATAACATAATTTTGTCAAAATAATAAAAATAAACTTGTTTATAGCTAAATAAAGCACAGAACATACTGTTGTATTTATTTTTAAATAAGTCTTGCATGTTTTAATTGATAAATTATTTAATTTTATCTATATAAAATACAAATTAGGTGTGTATGACCAAATTCAAAAAAGTTTCTTAAATGCTGAAATTTGATAAGTACAATTTTGTGACAAAATTGTTTTTAAATTAAACCAATATATAGTTTTAAGAGTAAAATAAAACAGAGAATTGATTTTTTATTGTTGTAATACAAGTATAAAGGGACATTCGGGAATGTACATGGTATTACCTCATTCTTAAATTTCAGCCTTCCCCTTTTTATTTTGTTAACAGAACCATCAGTAAAAATAGTCTCATAATATTTGATAATATCTTCTAAAAATATGATGTGTCCAACACATGACTTTCCTATCTAATTATTATAGGCTTTTTCCGGTTATTTTGTACAACCGATTGCAGCACCTCTATAAATGTTTAGATATATACATTTTCCACATACATCTAACTCGAAACAATTTTCTATAGATATTCATTGAAAACGAAAATACTGATAAAATTAAATTTAGCACTTTTCCTCCAATTTTTCCAGTACGGTCCATTTTAAACAACTTTTAGTTCAACAATTTTCTTAAAAATCAGAATTTTGCACATTTTGTCAAATTTCTCGAATACGGACCATTTCAGGAAAATTTGACATAACACAAAAATTATAGATAATAATATTAGAAGTAACTTTTATTTAAATAATTTTCTTCTCCAAACATAAATAACAACCCCCCCAGATGTTTCTAATTTGTCCAAAATCTAATCATTTCACGTCAGGCCGAAATAAAACTTCAGTTTAAAATTTATTGTTTTTTTCTTTATCCGTTTTTGAGTTTTCTTCAAAATTCGAAATTTACACATTTTCTCAAATATCTCGAATACGGTCCATTTTAGAGAAATCATGTATAAAATAAAAATTATAGAGAAATATATTGCAAATAACTTTTATTTAAATAATTTTTATAAAAAATTATTTTTTTTTTACATTTTGTCAAATTTCTCGAATACGGACCATTTTAGGGAAATTTTGTATAAAACAAAAATTATAGATATTATTAAAAGTAACTTTTACTTGAAAAATGTTCTTCTCCAAACGTAAATAACAGATATATTCCATAAAATATAAAAATGACCACCCATAAAGTACCCCCCCAGATGTTTCGACTCTGCCTAAAATCTAATCATTTCATTGGACGCTGAAGTAAAGCTTAAGTTTAAAATTTGGTGATTTTCTGTGTATCGGTTCATGAGTTATGGTGGATACACACACACGCAGAGACATCATCGCGAAAATAGTCAAAACGGATTCAGGGGACCTTAAAAACGTAAAAATCCGTCAAAAACTCGAGGTCGAAAAAAACAATGATTTCTATACTTTCCTTATATCTGCATACAGATAGGAAAGTAAAAAGTATAGAATAGCATCATCTCTAGAAAGTGCTTCATCGGCACTAGGAACGATATGTATACTGCCACTGTTCTAAACATTTAGTATCCTATAAAACCATTGACAATGACAAAATTGGGGTCCAAAAAAAATAACAGTAGCAACTCTTTATCTAACATTAAAAAATAAATTTCTTTTTTAGTAAGTTAAATTTAATGCATAATTATTGTTGTTTGTAAGTCAGCATCTATGACTGTTAAATTTTATATAATAGAAACTTGTAATAAAATAAACTACACTACGTAAGATACATATTTAACTAGTTTATAATAAATATTTTATTTAGACATGAATACATTATTTTACTTACATTAGAAGCTTTAAAAAGACATTGAATTGATTTCTTCTTGTGTTTTCTTTCGTTAAACATTTGATTTTTATCCTGTTTTACAATCTGGAACGACGTTAATCTTACTTTGATGTTTTTTGTCACTCATGTTACTTGTACTCAGGTATTTTTTTTCACATTATTTTGATTCTTTTCGCCAATTTTTTTAAAAAATAACTTTATTTTACATTGACTTACATAGAAAATTGACACCGCTGTCATTCGACATGCCAACTACAGTCAATTTCGCGAACTTTATAAAAAGAAGGACGGAAATTAGAAATTTGACCATTGTCGATTCGTCTCCTTCTCTCTAGTCCTCATAGTTTTAACTAATTAAACGATGATTTCGAGGCATTGTATTTAAAATAGTATAATGAGGCGAATAGTGACATAAGTGAAAAAGAGGTAAAAGAAAACTGTATATACAGTCTTCTTTCTTCTTTTTTCGGTCTGTTTACACTCAATCCCTCTGGATTATTGATCCAGAACTATTTTCACTTCTTGTTTATGAAGTAGTTGAGCTACGCTTGCGCATGTCTGACCGTTGGTCATCACTCGCTACAAAGTTCTCTAAAAGTTTTTAAGAAATTTATTTATTATTAAAGCACTACGAACACTAGGGTTTTTAAGTAGGTTATGAAGGTTCTAAGCAGCTAAGCATTTCAAAATACAATTTGTCTCTTATAAGTCTTTTGATTGAACATTCTAGTAGGATGTGTTGGAGATTACCTACTTCTTCACATTCACAAAGGGGGACTGTAATACTCTAATCCGGTGAAGGTGTTCTTGTGTCAAGCAATGCCCTATTCTTAATCTAAGAGTTGAAGCTCTTGACTTATTGATTTTTACTTGACTAATCCACGGTTTCTTAAGTATGTAATCCACTATTTTAAATAAGTTTTCCCTTTAAAGTTACACTTCTCTCTCCATTCTTCCCCCAGCTTTTTCTAACATTTTCTTTAGCTCCAGCAAATCTCTGTAATCCACCTGTTTAAAATTGACTAACTCTTTGTTAATACCGTTACTACCTTACTCCTGTGTGTCCTGGGATCCAGTCTAATCCGATAAGCTTACCTTGTTTCTTTTCGTCTGAAATTGTCTCTCTTTTGGTCTGTATAGACAGTAATCATTTATTGTACAACGAAAAAGAACTTTCTCAAAATAAAGAACATGGCCCCAAAAAGGATATCTAGCGAATATGAGGAAGAGTGCGCCAATTCCATTATTTATTACTATGGAAAGAACAGGTATAAGTGGAATAAGAAAGAGCCAACCAGTATTCTCGAAAAATTTGTAAAAATTGTACCAGGGTAGAGTAAGACTAATTTTTTTCATGTATTTTTCTTATCTGCAGGTTTTGTGTAGGATTTATATTTTCCTGTTATTTTAACTTTTTTATATAAAATATATTTACTTTAAAGATACATTATGTTAATTTGAATATAACTAAGATTTCTTTTGGAATATGTCTTGTATTAATTTTCTATGTCAAGAAATTTAACATTTTATGTTTTTATTGTGACACAATTCGATGTTTTCTTGTTCAATAAATCTAAAAATATCATAATAATATTGTTTTATTAATTTAAAAAAATGTTATTTAATTATTTGTTTCGTAACTTTTGAAAAAACCGCTTTTTTTGCTAAGAGTCTGTACTTAAAAGTAGGGTCACCAGTTAAGGGTTAAGCAAAATTATATCCTTCTTCCTCTTAGTGACTTCTAAAAAAAAAGTCCTCAAGCCAGGTCACTCACTTTTGTGGCGATAGTTGTGAATTTTTTTTATTATGACTATTATTTTCTTCGCGGAGTCCCCACCAAGGCTTTACGGAGCCCCAGGGCTCCGCGGAGCACACTTTGAGTAACTCTGCTCTAAAGAAATAGTCGCTGATATTTAGTCTTGGGATATAGTCGTAGTAAAATAATTCCAATCGGAAAGTGTGGTAAATATAATAATTATTTTTTTTAAATGTAGTAAAATAAGTAAAGTTATCGAGAAACTACCTCTACTGCGCCCATTTTGTGTTTATTACAGTTGAAAGAATGTTCCGGAAATATTCTTAGCTAATATTCTGTTTTATAAAATTTGTAAAATATCAAATTGTTACTTGGGTGGTTTGTAACACTATCCTTGATAACTGGCAAAGGTAAGTTAGTAAAAAGGGAAACTACCTTGCAGCAAAAGGCCAATAAACTCATCACTAATCTACAAAATACTAACGCCATTTCTAAAGAAGTTGCAACGAAACTAAGATTCTATAATTCTATAATTCCGCGTTTTTATGATGTGCCTAAGATACACAAGCCAACTGTATTATTTTTCCAATTACTTATTTTCTCTTTGAAATTTCTTTTTAAAATATTTTAATAACTTAAAAAAAATTTAAAACAATTCTTTTTATTAAAGCAGATCTAAAAATATTATAATAATTGTATCCAGCTCGTTATTTCCTTGAAACTACTTAAAAGTAAATGGCTTTTTTCACATGCTGATAAATTTCTTATTTGAACACCGTGTCAGTAGTTGGTCTGTTTTAATGCAGAAATCAACGATGATGGATTTAAAATTCCAATAATAAAATTGTTTTTCAGTCTTCAATTTTTAACCATAGTTATTTTTTTTTTGTTTTAAATAAATTTTATAATGCGTAATGTTAACAAGAAAAGTTTTTAATTGTGTAACTGATATCAATTTTTTCCCTTAATATCAGTTTGGTGAGTAGTTTATTCTGTTTTTGTAACTAATTTTTAACAACGTTTTTTGTATTCATTGTAGGTGTTCTGATGAAGGAAATAAACAGTTTCCAAAATCTTATCAAACAAAAAAGAGTGCATTTTATTTACTAAAAAGTCCTCCTTATCTTTGACTGTATCCCCAAGATATTTCTATTTTCTCTACTACTACCCTCCTTTTTCTATATATATTGATATGGTATGTTTTTATATGACTTAAGTGAAACCATATCTTTAATATAATTTAAAAGATAATATGAGCGCCAATTATTTATCTTAACTTCCCGGATAGCGTATTCATAGACAGAACTTACTGTTGGCTATGGAATATGTTTACTTAGAGCAAACTCTCTTACCTCTAGGTAGGGTTCAAACAGTTATTCGTAGATGGGGCAACCTGCTTTTTATTTGTCAATTGATTAATAATAAATAATTTATTACAATGTATTATTATAACTAAAACACA